GAGTAAAATAACATAAATTGATTATCCTAGAGCCAAGAACCACAATTTTGTCAGATTTCATATACTAAGCAAGTTTTCATTTAGTCCGTTCTTTAAATGAAAAAAAATCAAAAAAGGGAATGGAGGAAGCATATGAAACTTTTGTTTACTAGACAGTAACATTATTATTTATTTCAATATATCCACAAAATTATAATATACTTCTGTTAGAGTATCTATTGCAATAAAATAAAGGTAATTTAATTTTCACTACTTTAAATAAGAGTATTTAAATGTCCCATGTAACTCAATTGGTTCAAATAATATGTGGGATTTAAATCCCTTTAAAAAGAAAACAAAGGCAATAGGCTTCCCCATTTATAAATCAAATACTTAAGAATTATAACACTGCAACAAAATTCTGAACACAGAGAAATTTAAATATACAGGAGAATTGATACTGCATCCTTGTACTCTGACTGTCAAAGTCTCGTAACAACTGCACTCCCCACAGCTGTCTTCACTGGATCTCAAGTGTTCAAGCAGCAGGGTGTCAGGTCTTTGAGTACAAACTTGCACGAAGCGGTCTGTGAAATAATCAGGTACTGGTTTAAAAACTGTGTTCTGCCCTTTGCGACAGCATGGATGTAACTGGAAAGCATTATGCTTAGCGAAATAAGCCAGGTGGTGAAAGACAAATACCATATGATCTCACCTTTAACAGGAACCTAAATAACAAAACAAACAAACGAGCAAAATACAACCAAAGACACTGAAATAGAGAATAGGCTGACAGTGACCAGAGAGGAGAGGGGAGGGAATTTCAAGGGAAAAGGGGAAGGATTCACAGGAACAAGTATAAAAAACACATGGACAAAAACTAGGGGGAGGGGTGGAAATGGGAGGGAGAGGGAAGGCTGGTTGGGTGGGCTGGGATGGGAGTAAAAGAAAGAAAACTATACATGAACAACAATTTAAAAAAAAAAAACCAAAGTGTGTTCTCAATGAACAATCCCTAAAGGCCATGCTAAAAGCCATAGGCAAATTTCTACCCTTCAGTCTACACACTTAGGTGAAATGGAACAGTATCTCTTCTTTTTGAAGGCGAGTGCAGATGCTCGGACTTGCCTTGATACTTTAGGTTTATTACCCATAAAGGTAAGTGTAGGGGATGGCTTATCTAGTTTTATTTCTAAGGACTCTATCTCAGAAAATCCACAGACTTCTAGAGTTCTACAGCCAAGAAAGAGTCCCTGATCCTTAATGGGCTATTTTCTTAGGAATCTTAAACTCCGATTTTAACCTCAGGCTTTTTAACACCATCCTGGACATCAAGGCACTAATAATCCATCATCTCCGTCAGCTAAGCACCATGGCTGCATATTAGGGATACTTTCAAAAGACACGGATGACTTGACCTTATCACAATAATTGAATCAGGACATTTCTGGAGCCAGGACATTTTTATATTTTAAAAGGCTTCCAGGTTTTTAGAATCATCATTCTGTATGTTCTAGGTCTTTTCTCATACTATCAAAGTCTCTAAAGAATGCATGATAACAAAATATCTCCATTATAAAATTGAGTGGGGAAGTAAAATAAATTATTGAGAAATCTAAACATACATTTTAATAAAAATTAAAAAATCATTAACAAGCCAATAAAAAAGCAGGCAAATAACTGGAATAGACATTCCTCAATGGAAGATATACAAATGGCCAATAAAGGCTCAAAAACACGCTCAGCATCATTAGCCATCAGGGAAATGGAAACCAATACGACAATGAAATAACACTTATACCCTGTAGAATGGCTACAATCAAAATGACAGATAAAACAATGTTGGTAAGAATATGGAGAAATTAGAACTCTTATACACTGCTCTAGAAATGTAAAATGTTGCAGCCTCTTTAAAAAAAAAACCTGGCAGTTCCTCTAAAATAGTGGTGTCAAACTCATCTTCACCGGGGGCCACATCAGCCTCGCGGTTGCCTTCAAAGGGCCAAATGTAATTCTTGGACTGTATAAATGTAACTACTCCTTAACAACTAAGTGGGAGCTGGAGCTCCGTGCTGCCACCGGGTAGAAACATTGTGCAGGCTGGATGAAACAGCCCGATTTGCCCAATTCAGCCTGCAGGCCTTGAGTGTGCTGCTTGTGCTCTGAAGGTGAAACAAGTCACCATATAACCCAACAAGTCCATTCCTAAGTACATGCTCAAAAAAAATGAAAGCATGTATCAACACAAAATCTTGTACATAAATGTTCAGAACAGACTCATCTATAATAACCAAACGGTGAAACCAACTCAAATGCCCATCAAATAATAAATGAATAAACACAATGGAGCATTATTCAGCAACTGAAAGGAGTTAAATATTGACATGATATAACATGGATGAACTGAAAAACACTATGCTAGCTGAAGAAATCCAGTCACAAAAGATTGTGTATTATGTAATTACCTTTATGAGAAATTCAGAATAAGCAAATCTATAGAGACAGAGAGTTAATCAGTAGTTGCGAGGGGCTGGAACAGTGGGGAGAAATGGTGACTATTAATGGGTACAGGGTTCCTTTTGGGTGGTGATGGAAATGTTCTAAAATTGATTTGCAGTGAAGGTTGTACAATTCTATGACTATACCAAAAACTACTAAATTGTTTATTTTAATGGGTAAAATGTATGGCATGTGAATTATGTCTCAGTAAAGCTGTTACATATAATACAATCCATTAATAATGTAACATCAAATTTAACATTTAAGTAAGCAAATAAATAGTAGCAAGTTTTATCTTTTGATTATATATTACTTTGCTTCTCTAACACACATTCTATATTCATCTGTTTTCATAAAGCTGTATTTAGGTAAAATAAATTAACTATGAATTACTTTAAAATTCTGAACATCTATGATCAATATATTCTTCTTACCTATTTGTTAATTTTAGAGTCACATAAATAACAATATATATTTTATCTGACAAGTAGCAATTTTATCTATGTAATTTTACAACTTAAAAGAAATAGATACTTATCAACACCACACTTGCATTTAGGAGAGATTTTTGATGCATTATAGATAATGTGAGTTTTGAGTAAATATCTAAATAGATCTTAAATATTTTTTATTTTTTATTCACAGCATTTTGCCAGGCAAAGGCTGGTTTCCTTCCTTCCTAACCCTCAATTCTCCTTCCATGGGCTAACTGAATAAACTAGATTCAGCTTCTTTAGGTTTTACAGTTTCCAGACCTGTGATTTTAAGCAACAATTGAACTTTTTCTGAAGGAATTATGTGTATGTGTCTGTGTGTAAAATATGAGGCTTTGCAGATGTTTCCGGCCACAGTTATGCAGCTGCAAAAAGTTTATTAATTATGAAGTATAAGTGGATTCTTCTGTAATTGAAAGTGCCCAGGCTTTAATATTATTGTAGAATCTATGCATATGTAGTTAGAGATTCTAATACACGCTGTTATTTTTATTTATCACAGATGGACATTTTACTTAATTCAGAGAAAGTGGGTTGTTTCCATAGGAGCTTTTGAATATTGGTGTCATATTGATGTCTGTGCTTCTATAATGCAAAGGGGGAAACACAGCTTGTCAAAATTGTACTCCCACTGCTCAAAGTACTGACCTCATCTGGGACAGACAGATCCAGATTCCGTATTTTAATCCTATTGACTGTGCCTCAGTGGGAATAATTACAAAAGGCTGTCTGAAAGCCAGACCTCTTGTCATTGATGTGCTAGGATTTCTCATATTGAGAATGAACAGCGGGCAGGGAGGATGAAAACAGCATGATGTAATGAGTTTATTACAGCTTGTGAGGCACCGTCCAAAGTGCTGTCCAACTAACCTGTAAGAATTTAGAAAAGAAACTATGCACAATATAAAGTTTGTGATGACAGGTGCTCAAGTACTGACATAATTAGGGGGTCTTTAAAACTAAAAATAAAGTGTTATTTATTTGTGTTATTTAATTTAGTACTTCTATCGACAGTATGTAGTGGGAAAGAAACAAATATAAAATAAGAAGCTTTTACAGGTGTTATTTTTAAGACTTAGACTGTAAAAGAAAATAAAGCATTATGTAAACACAGTGTTTTCTCCTTTATTAAATTACCAATTCGGAATATGTTAAGAATTCTGCTGAGGTCTGACATTAAAATACTCTCTATTTTATCAGGATATCACCCTTATTCTAGTGACATTGCAAAACTGATTTAAAAGGTATAACGATGTCATGTTAGAACATTCAAAACCTTTTTTGTATTCTTATTCTATTGTATAAATATTAGACTATATTAAGGAGGTACTGTGTTGCAGCAAGAGCGAACTGGATTTTCACTGAAATGATCTGTGTTCAGATCTGCTCCAGCACTTACTGCCATGCAATTTGGACAAATCTGCTTCACATTCCTGGGCTTCCACGTCTTTGTTTCCTTGTTATTAATGATTGAGTGCTACAGACTTACTAGCCATTTTTATATTTCTATTTGTAATCCATCATCTAGCTGTTCAAACTCCCATATAATTGTCTTTAAAGTAATACTATAAAAACACATGTTTCTACCACCATTACCATACCCCCAAATCCCCACATACAAACCATCAGCCCCTAGTCTTTTAGTGGTGCCCCTGCAAGAGTGAGAAAGGTTCTCAAAGGCCATCCCTGACAGGGACCCTCCCCCTCCCAATCCACCTCTAACCCTCTCTGTCCCACTGCGGCCAAGCCCAGCCTGTGCTCCCAGAGATGTGCGCATCCACTTGGATTCTCGCAAATAAGGATCTAGAAATGAAGTTTGGAAGTTAAATAAATTACTTCAAAATCAACTCCCATAAAAGGAACGATTTCAAAATAAAATTAGACCCTTCTGGATCTCACACAATATTGTTCTCATATGTCCATTCTGAGATATCCAACTACAGACTAAAAAAAAATAATTATCTGTGAAATTTCAGAATTTAGTAACTCTGATGGAAAACAACTAAAATGTATTAATTTTTTAGTTGCCAGGTGAGAGTGTGAACTGCTCCCCAACAACCACAAATTATGCCGTTCAAGTTTCCCACATTTGGAGAAATTGCAGGGGTCAGCCCACCCAGAGTGCAATGGATAAGCCTCACCCTGGGCAAATCATTTTCGTGATCATGGTAACTCCTCTGGCCAGGTAAGTATTAAACACACACACACACACACATAAACATAGACACATGTATATATAGCAATCTTAAATCTAATTCAAGTTTATAGCAAAGTAATATAGTTATGGGGTTATCATGGATAAAAACACTTAAATTAGGAGAAGATAAGTGACCAAACTCAAACATTTCATTACTTATTTGTAGTAACTAACAAAAATGTGGCTTATTTTTGACAGCGTTATTTTATTTTTCTAAAAGATTTCCTTCAGGTCATGTCATCAGGAACAAGAAGCTGCAACAGCCAAGTTCTTAAACAGCAATACAACTTGTCCTTATATAAATGATCAGTTTGGCTTCCCCTCCAGCATGAAGTAGCTACATAACTTTTGTAAATTTGCTTCTGTTCTCTGAGCCCCGTTTTCCCATATTTAAAACAGGGAAACCTTATAATAAGATGACCTCATAAGATTGTTGTGAACTAAAGCACAGATTCATGTGAAGAACTTAGCACAGTGCCTAGTGGAGAATATGCACTCAATAAATAACTACTGTGAGTCTTTCACAAAGTGATTTTCCATGCCAAGTTCTCACTATAGTATCTGTTCTGATAAACACTGAGTCACTTTGCCATTTCCAGATGTATATGTATACAAGAAACACGAATTCTTAAGCAAATATAGCCAAATTACTCATTCCCTAATTAAATAATTATTGTTTGCCTATTCTTTGCACTGGCAGACAGTAGACCAAAGATAGATCTGCTAAAAGACAGATATAATGATATCTAAATCCCATACTCCTTGACCTAGCATCAAGTGGTATGTAAAAGCATTTGATTATGTCCTTCAGCTAATTAAGATTCTGATATTTCATAACAATTACTTATATAAATTATAAATATTGTGCCCTAATTTGTATCTTTTAGAATGTGTTTAATTATCTCCTAGTGCAGTGGTTAATAGAGATTCTAAAGTCACCTTTCCTGCCAAGCTGTGGTGTCTCATCAATGGGAAATGAGAAAACTATTCAGCGCAAGTAGATGTGCAGGAAATGTGTGTAGGGTCATATGACTGACCGATTATAGTTAAACTGGAGACCTATTTGTGGCAGTTCTTGGCATGTTGTTCTCAATGAGACTAATAGTGCATCTGGCACTATCAGAATATTCCACAAGGTCAGGTTACTTCAAATGGAAAGAACTTCAGCTAGCCCTGGCTGGTGTGGCTCAGTAGACCAAGTACTGCCCTGAAAACCAAAGGCTCACCAGTTCAATTCCAAGTCAGGACACATGCCTGGGTTGCAGGCCAGGTCCCCAGTGAGGGGCACATGAGAAGCTGCCAGGCATTGATGTTTTTCTCCCCTTCTCTCTCCCTCCTTTCCCCTCTCTCTAAAAATAAATAAATAAAATATTTTTAAAAAGAATTTCAGCTAGACAAGAAACATAAATACAAATGTTTGAGATTTTATTGTGTTTAATAAAGTGAATATATTTTAGTTCAATTCAAAGAATTAAAATTAGAGTATTTTTGAGTGATTCATCAATAACAGGTTTTTCTTCTATAATATACTTAAATCTGTATATTTAGAAAAGTCTTTAAAATCCATAGCCAACATAAAAAATTAATTCCATCTTGTTTCTTTTTTCTTCTATTTTTTCATCTTAATTTATTAAAGAGCAGTCCTTTCATTTCAAGCAGTTTCAGACAGGCCTTTTCCCCATCAGTTTTCTGCAATAATTTCAAAATGATTAAAACAAAATCACCAGTTAAAGCAATCTTTCTAGCTATTTTGTAAAGACTATTTTTCCTTATTTAGTCAGTTATAAAATCTGGATCAATACTAAGCCTTGTGAAGCAAATAACCCTAAAGCAGTTTAAAGCCATTTGAACATTTAGGGAGATAAATAATCATTTCTGTTATGCCAGTAGAAAATTTTCTGAAGATCATAAAGAAATCACTTTACCCTGAAGCATGACATTTACAAAAGATGCATTGGAACAATGATAAGATTGACCCAATCCTTAACTTTCAGAAATAAAAGAAAATAACAGGAAGAATAAATCCATAACAACAAATGATGCTGCTGAGCTCAACTGATTATTCAAAAAAAAGAAGGTAGCCACACATGCACGTAAAAGCAAACAAATATAGAAATGCATGCTCATGTGTATATATTCATTATATATAAGATAAACATTCATTAGAGATATAAAATAGTAAAGTGCTGTAAGTGCATTTCCACACTTCCTACTCCTTATAATAGAATATCAGTTGACTGCTAACTTTTATTTCCACACCAAGAATATAATCTGTCACAGCTATAGCTATATCTTATACATTTTGCATCCATAGCATTTTGCAAACAGATAATGCAAGTACTACTAGAATCTTTTAATACAGTTTTAGTAAAGTCTAGAAAAAGTAGCTATGTTAGATGTGAAAAATATGTGTGGTTTAGCTCTTTAATAATAATTAACTCATTCTCTAAGCTGAAAAATAACAATATTCTAGTTTTAGATAATCCAGAGTTGCTATATTCTAGAATGTATACAAGTTCTTGTATTTCTGGTAGTAATTTGGAGCGAGACAGGCCACTATTAAAATAAATACTTCTAATTATCACTTATATTGGAAAACACAGAAATATCACTGATGCCTTACATTATGAAAAATGATTTCAATTTATTTCTTACTGGCTCTCTTTCAAATTTTAAAAACAATTATTGTGGAGCAAACGAAAAACTCATTTTAATACAGTGGGTTATTGTATATTTTATTTTTTATTATGAACACAACTACATACATATATTTTTCCACACACCTTGCCTGTACATTTTTGTTTTCCGAATTTCATATGTTGTTATGATAAATTAATTCATTTAGCTTATAACCTATGGAGTAGGAAGCATGAAAAAACTAAGTGTTAAAGCCTATTTATAAGCATATGTATTATTTCACTTTTTTTAAGTTGAAATTTAAACCTAACAGGAAAATTGGATGAAAAAACATAAAGCACCTTTCATTAAATGTGAGCTCAGAAAAGCAATACAAAGTATCAATATATACTCCTGCATATCTCAATCTGAAACAACTAAGAAATACAGAAGTTAAATACTGCATTCTCAAGGTAATGGATAATAATGTAATGTGAACATTTCCAAAAACAATTTGATGAAAATTCTCTAGAATATAATGATTGATTCTATTTCTACACCAATGGTGCTGTAATATAATATTTTGTGTAGAAAGCTGAAAATATATAAAGTCATCCTAATTAATTATAATCAAATCACCTCAAAACCTACCAAAAGTTTTGAAAATATAAATTTATACTAATCATAAAACAGATAATTAGTAAGGGGAAAAACAGTTCAAAGATTGCCCCAAATGAAATGGTGAAGAGTGTCCAGAAGAAAAGTAGATAGACAGTTGTGAACATATACTGTCCCAGATCACACACTGTCCCAAATCACACACTGTCCCAGTGGAATGAGTCGGGTGATATTTTCATAATAGATTTATTTTTTAACATGTAAGTTAAATTACCCTTTGGTGTACATGTTCAACAAAAGATTGATAAGAATACTAGTTGAATATATGTCTAAAAAATAGTATGTCTAAAAAATAGTATGTCTAAAAATCCAAGGTGTGATTGGCTTAGTCCGATGTAATAGGGATAATCTAGCATTATATAAGAACTTGTGAGAAACACACTTTTGTAAGAGGATGCATACAAACAGGAAAACGAGTTATCTGAGACTTGAAAATACTCATGTGCTTTCATTTCACTTTGCCATAATGAACACAACACCTACAGCATGAAAAGAACAAGGGACATCTTTACCAAATGTCAACAATACAAAAGGGAATACTTCTAACCTTAGAATAATGTGAATATCCCTTTTGCCATTTTAACAGAATTATTTTGTAGTTCAAATTAATGTTCCTTTAAGTAAGAGGCTTAAAGGGTATATCTTTTCAAGCTATAGTTATTAGAGAAACAGTTCTAGTCACAATGTCAATATAAAGTTTGAAGTTCTTAGATTTTCCCAAAACAAAATCCTTCTCTTATAATATAAATTAGACAGTGTTGATTATAACCCCAAATAACATGCAGTCTGTAGAACATTAAATTATACACCAAAAGAAAGCACAAAAATAACATGGAGTCTCACAGAAGGTATTTGAGTAGATAATTTTTTTAGAGTCAGGCTCAAATTTAGAAGAATTCATGCCAAGGATTAAGTTATGTGGGGCTGACCTTCCTGAAAAAGATTCACGACAAATGCACTTGCTAAAATTTCCACCACACATCCTTAGTGAAGCCATGTCTGATCTCCGGTTTAGGCAACTGGATCCCTCCTCTCTCTTTCCACTCCTGTAAGTAAGTACTATAGATACAGTTTATGTCTACATCAATATCTGTATCTCTGTCTGTATCTGTATTTATATATGTCTCTGTCTGTATACCTACACTTATATCTTTATATCCCTATAGATGCAACATTGGGGATATTACACTCCTATTACAATCTTTTAAGATAGTTACCATATTTTTCCAATTAAATAAACGTGTTAATTATAGTTCCCTTATCTTTCATGAGAGTATGGTCCTTTAAAGTCTTCCACCTGAGTGTCATACCTCACTAAGCAAGTCTTTAATACCGCCCAGAATGTTGGTGTCTATGTATATTTATGTAGATCTCAATTTTAATTGCTAACATAGAAGAAACTTATATGTGCGAATATATTCAGATGATTAAGTAAAAGTTTATAGAATAGTAGAGAATAGTCTCTAAGAATTCAGGCTGTAGAGCCAAACACCTTGAGTTCAAGTCCTAGATCAAATGCTAGACCTACCACTAGACCACTATAAAGATCTGTGCAGAAAGTCTCTAGCCGTGCACTGTGAAAAATAGAGACATTTATTGAAGATAGAAGAAACATTGTATATGTTTCTTCAAAGTAAGCATCTTGGGACCTCACATAGTTCTCCCATTCACCATGAGCTGCCTCGTCATATTTTTCTGAGTC